TACTTCCTTTGTTTTTGTTGGCTATTATCTTTTAAAACGGCAAGACTATATGTATGCTGTGAGGGACCATGACATGTTTGCGTATATAAAGTCACATCCAGAAGATTTTCCTGAAAAAGGTATTTCAAATTAATTGTAGAAAACCTTGTTCCTTACTCTGTTGTATTCCCTGATTAATCCTATCTATGTTAGAGGCTTCATGTGTGAAGCCTTCTGTTTTCTATGACTCCTACGTCTTTGTCTAGATCGAAATCTTTTTTGTTGAAGGAGTGGAGAGAGATATAGGGGATTGAACCCAGGGGCACTTTTCCACTGAGTTATATCCCTAGTCCTTTTACTTTTTTATTTTGAGACAGAATCTTGCTAAGTTTAAGTTGCCCAGGCTGGGCTCCAACTTGTAATCCTCCTGCCTCAGCCTCCGAAGTAACTGGGATTACAGGTTTGTGCCGCTGTGCCCAGCAAACATGAAGTTTTTAAATTCATGTATCAAATTTTTGACTGAGGACTTCTGTGTCCCTTGAATAGCAAACAAAATTCATGTCCCCTCTGCCTTCTCAAACCTTCTGCTGAGCTTCGAACTCTTCCTCTCCCACTGCCACTGCCTTGGTTCAGGCCTACCTAGATAATATCTTGTTTGGACTGTGACACCTCTAGCTCACCTCTGCCTTCAGTCTTGCTTCTGCTAACAGCAAATCTGGTCATATTTCTATATATTGCCTCTAGGATAAAATCCAAACTCCCTAGGATGGTTCATCTCCACTGGCAGAGTCAATTGCTTGTCTGCTGGTAGAAACGCTTTGCCCATTGGTCCTTCTATCTTCCACATTATGTCTGTATTACTCCCTGGAATGTAGTTTAATCTTTGTTTTCCTAGCCTCTAGCATAGAACCTACTACACATAGCAGCACTTATAAAATTAACAGCTGACCTAAACCTGCAGGGAATCCTGCTTTAGCTCCTATCACTCACCTTTCATAAAATGTTGCCAGGGGCTGGGGATGTGGCTCAAGCGGTAGCGTGCTCGCCTGGCATGCACGCAGCGCTGGGTTCAATCCTCAGCACCACATATAAATAAAGATGTTGTGTCCGCCTAAAACTAAAAAATAAATATTAAAAAAATTCCCTCTCTCTCTCTCTCTCTCTCTCTTAAAAAAATGAGGGGGGGCATGGCATGACCTTGAAGGAGATTCTGGGATGCTGACCCTTTCCTTCCTCTCTCTCAAAAAAATTAAAATAAAATGCTGCCAGGAGAGTCCTGGCTGGAGGAAGGAATAAGTAGGGAAGGCACAGATCAGGTACTGGAGGGCATCAGCAGATGTGGTCAAGCTCACCATGTCCCCACTTGTCAATGGAAGAAGCTCAGGAAATGCTTGTCCTGAACCTACGCTGTATCACTTGGACATGTGCTTTCTTATAATATTCTTCCTTTGGCCCCTATTTCCATCTTGTCCATGGAACAGGTTCCTGCTCAAGGTTTAACATCTGAGTGAAGCCTTCACCCAGCTATAGACAGTAATTCCCTCAGCACACTGTTGCTGTTAATTGTGAATATCATTGTAATATGACTTTTATTACCCACATTTGGCACACTTACACACAATACTGATGAGCGTATATGTGTGCTATTTGTAGACTGGAAATTTAACTTACTAGGGCAATTTTTGTCTTCCCAAGGACTAAAGATCCTTTTTTTTTAATATTTATTTTTTAGTTGTAGTTGGACACAATATCTTTATTTTATTTATGTGGTGCTGAGGATCGAACCCAGGACTTCACACGTGCTAGGCGAGCATTCTACTGCTGAGGCACAACTCCAGCCCCCTAAAGATCCTTTCTAAACATGTGAATGAATGTTGGAAAATGTTGAACGTTTTAAATATATAATAGATTTTTATATACTTTCCTATGCATGTAAATGTATAATATAAAGCATTTAAATTTCATTAGGCTGAGTTGGGGATGTAGCTGAGTTGATAGAGTGCTTGCCTTGCATGCACAAGGCCCTGGGTTCAATCCCCAGCACCACCAAAAAAAAAAATTGTTAGGCTGACTGACTGATCCCAAAGGTCCTGTTCAACTCTAAAACTTTATTAGTATTACAATACAATATTCCCAGGGACTTGAGTCACCTATGTGATATTTATGGTATCTAAAAAAGACATTTTTTTTTTTTTTGGCCAGTGAAGAGTTTAAATACTAGTACGATCAGTCCCAGTGGTACACACTTATAATCCCTTGGGAGGCTAAGGCAGAAGGATCCCAAGTTCAAGGCCAGCCTGAGCAACTTAGCAATACTCTGTCTCAACATAAAAAATAAAAAGGCTGGGCTGGGGATGTGGCTCAAGTGGTAGCACGCTCGCCTGGCATGCGTGAGGCACTGGGTTCAATTCTCAGCACCACATAAAAATAAAATAAAGATATTTAAAAAAAAGGCTGGGGATATGGCTCAGGGGTAGAGTGCCCCTGGGTTAAACCCATTAAAAAATAAAGTACCATTAAAAATTAAAGGTATATTGGGGCTGGGGATGTGGCTCAAGCGGTAGCACACTCGCCTGGCATGCGTGCAGCCCAGGTTCAATCCTTAGCACCACATACAAACAAAGATGTTGTGCCTGCCGAAAACTAAATAATAAATATTTAAAAATTCTCTCTCTCTCTCTCTCTCTCTCTCTCTCTCTCTCATATATATAATTAAAGGTATAAAGCCATAAATCAGGTGTGGGGAAACTCAGAATCATTGGATGTTAGAGCTGAAGAAATCTTGGCTAATTCTAATTCCTAGAAGTGAGTCCCACTAGCTAGGCAATCTTCAGCCCTGAGCCTTCTGATATCTTTGCCTAGATATTTCCACTAGCTCCCTCTGTCAGCAGGTGTCAGCCACTTCATTCTGTCTTCTAGTGGATTACCAGCAGGTGTTTCAAGAACATCCTGCACTGACTACAGGAGCATGGAGGGTTTCAACACATTAGTTGAAACTGGCCTCTCCTAGCTGAGCTATAACCTTCCTGTTTATTTCTTCCTTCATCCCTTTAGTCAGGATATTCCTAGGAGTAATTTGCCCCTCCAGGTACCCATCTAAATGTCACCACAGATTTAAGAAATAAAATATTTCAGTGATTTCCAAGCCATTGTGGTACTAGAGATTGAACCCAGGACCTAGCACATGCAAGGCAAGTGCTGTATCGCTGAGCTACATCCCTAACCCCCCACCATCACCACCTTTTTATTTTGACATAGAGTCTCACTGAGTTGCTCAGTATGGCCTCCAACTTGTGATCCTTCTGCTTCAGCTTCTCAGTAGCTGGGATTATGGACATGTGCACAGCATGCCTAGCTAAGAAATAAAACTTTAAAAAACGTAATTGTAAGATAATTTTTTTAATCTTTTATTTTTTATAGATAAGAAAACTTATGGTGAAATTCTTGAAGAATTCCATCCAGTGCGTTGAAGTCTTCAAAATATTTGCTCCCATTTACTAAGATGTTTCTAAATTTTATGGAACATATTTCCTCCACAACAGCCGAAGTTTATGTTAATCTGTATAACACCTATAATTAAAGTAGTTATCATGAACAAGTACTCTGACTCTTCTTTTTTCATTTTAAGAAGAAATAGGGCTGGAGTTGTGGCTCAGTGGTAGCGCGCTCGCCTAGCAAGCACGAGGCCCTGGGTTCGATCCTCAGCCACATAAAAACAAACAGATAAAGGTATTGTGTCCAACTACAACTAAAAAATAAATATTTAAAAAGAAAAGAAAAAAAATAGTTCATCATAGAGTAGTCACTTTCCATTGACCCAGTTTTAAGAGATTTGGAAGATTTTTAAATGGAGTTTAGGGGCTGAGGATGTGGCTTAGTGGTAGAGTGCTTACATAACATTTGTGTTGAATCCCAATACCACAAAATAATAAATGGAGTTTAGTTCCAAATCAGAACTAAACTCCATTTATTCTGATCAGATTTGGAAAACTTCAGCCCATGGACCAACTCTGGCCCACTGTCAATAAAGTTTTATTGAAACACAGCCACTTTCATTTGTTTATATGGCTGCTTTCATACTACAACAGCAGGGTCAAGTAGTTATGACAGAGCTTATAGCATGCAAGGCCTAAAATAGTTAATATCTGGCCCTTTTCAGAAAAGGATTGCCAGCTTCTGTTCTAATGTAAAATAAGCCAGATTATAAAGGGTTTTGTGAATCATAGATCATTTTAACTTGATTCCTTAAGTATGGGGAATTCAGTAAAAGGGTTTTAATTGGAATAATGGTCAGGTTTGTATTTCTGAGCTCCCTTTGCAACAATATATAGGGTGGTTTGGAAGGAAGACACTTAAGGCAAGCACAGTTAAACATCTGATACTGCACAGGAGTGTGCTCTTAGGTGAATCATCCTGGACAAAGTGAGCTCAGCTAGCACAGCCTACAGTGGAGCTTGACACAGTCAGAAGTAAAAAGCACCTTCCTGGAAGGAGGTGGTTCTTTATAGTCAAATCCAAATGTTTGCCAGGCACAGTGGAGCACACCTGTAATCCCAGCAACTTTGAGACTGAGGCAGAAGGATCACAAATTCTAAGCCTCCACAATTTAGCGAAACCCTGTCTCAAAAAATAAAAAGGGGTCTGGGGTTATAGCTCAGTAATAGGGCATTTGCCTCACATGTGTGAGGCACTGGTTTGATTCTCAGCACGGCATATAAATAAATAGGTCCATTGACAACTAAAAAATATTTTTAAAAAATAAATAAAAGTTGTAAACTGCCCCTGGGTTTTAAAGTCCTCAGTACCACCACCACCCCGGCCCCCCAAAAAATTCTAAAAAGCTTGTCCAAAAAGCTGAAATTTTATAATCAGTACTTTGGGGAACATTAGTAAAACTGTATACATGATTTCAAAGCAGAAGTTTTCTGGGAAAAATAAAGTTATTCTATTTACTTGAGTATCACTTGTAAAAAGTAAGACATTGGAGAAAGTGTTTTTGAAATAATAAAGAGATGTACAAATACAAGGTATTTTTTCTTTATTGCTACTGCAATAAATAGGTTTACAGTTCTTGCTCAGCCTCATCAGTGGTTGGCAGGCGTAACAGTGAGGTACTCATCCCGAGGGACTCCTGCTACCTCAGTTAAGGACTAAAGCAAATACATAGGGGAAGGTGGGAGAAAAATCAGTCTATTACAATCTGATAATTTCTCATATACCAGGTTCTTTTGATTCATCTTGTTTCATTTTTGTAACTTTGTGAGGTAAGTTGTCCCCATTTTATACATGAGGTTACTTAGGCTCCAGTGGGTGAATAATGCCTGAGGTCACAGGGTGGATGACTGCCAAGTGGAGGGAAGTGAACTTTGGTCATAGGCTAACACCTCTGCTCTTCTGTGTCATACTAGACTAACTTTGTCTACTCCCTCATGAACCACTGGCCACCACCCTGAGCTGGTAAGAGGATTAAATGGAGTTGTGAATAGCAACACATCCTAAAGGTGAGCCAAGGACTGGAGGTCACAAATTGATGCTCAGAGGGAGGTAGGGAAGCATCCCAGAGACACAAGTCGCCTTCACTTCAGCTGCAGGTCCAGGTGTTTCTGGAATCAGGGCTGACACACTGCTGCAAGTCCTCATCACAGTCTGCATTCTCTCGTGTAAAGTGATCTGTGGAGTGCAGGAAATTTTAAAGAACCAAATGAGTCTAAATTCAACAAGGCACTGTGATATACCTATTAAAATAGGAAGAGCAAGGGGAAAAAGTTTTGTCACTGCTGCTGGAAAACTGGCAACACTTCAGCTGTGAAGAAGAACCAGATTCTCAGCTGGGATCACTCGTCTGGTTTTTCCTCTACATTTAGTGGAAACTGAGATGCAGAAAGGTCAAATAGGTTCTTTAGGATATTACAAAAGAAAATGGCAGAGCCAAGAAAAGAGCCCAGATTTTTCAATATCTGCCAAACCATACTTTGTCCATGAATGAAAATGAGGTTAAGGTATGTTGAAATACTGTAGTATAGAATAGCTGCTGTGGCCTTTATGACTATTTGGTTGGTCAAGAAGTTGGATTTTACTGGGTGTGGTGGCTCACACCTTTAATCCCTATGGCTCAAGAGACTGAGGCAGGAGGCTCACAAGTTCAAAGCCAGCCTCAGCAAAAGTGAGGTGCTAAGCAACTCAGTGAAACCCATCTCTAAATAAAATACAAAACAGTGCTGGGGATGTGGCTCAGAGGCCAAATGTGCCTGAGTTCAATCCCCAGTACAAAAAAAAAAAAAAAGAAGTTGGATTTCTACCAGGTCTTCCATCTCCAATTCTCTTCTGCAATCTACGCCCTAAGGAGCACAGAAAATCCATCAATGTAGAGAAAAGAATGAGACTACAGGGCTGGGATTGTAGCTCAGTGGTGGAGCACTTGCCTAGCACATTTGAGGCACTGGGTTCAATCCTCAGCACCGCATAAAATAAATAAAAGTATTGTGTTCATCTACAACTAAAACTATTTTTCAAAGTAATGATAATTTATTAGATAGTTAATATACAAGTGATTTAAGTAGTACTCAAATGCCAGTTGTTATTTTTTATTACTATCATGATGCAGTGAAGAAACTGAAACACAAAGAAGTGAAGTGGCTTTCCCAAGGTCTCAGCTCAGTGGTAGAAGCAGGACATGAACCCAGAGCTCAGCTCTTCTGAGGCCCCCTGGCTGTTGATCCAGTTCAATTTAATTCAAGAAGAAACTCTGGAAGGCAGCCAAGAAAATCTCAAGGAGAGAGAAAAGCAGCATTGAAGTTGACCGTTTGGGTTTGAGGTGGAGAAACAAAAACAGCTGGGAAAGTACCTGGAAAGAATTCTCTATAGACTGTGGGTAGGGAGGGCATGTCTATTCTCCATCATTACAGAGTGGGAGAGAGTAGGCATAATGGAAAGAGCACTCAGCTCAAAGCTGAGGTCAGGCTTGCTTTTATCTTATTTTTTTTTATATTGAAATAGGGTCTCACAAGTTGCCAAGGCTGGCTTCAAACTTGGGATCCTCCTGCCTCAACCTTCCGAATCACTGGGATTACAGGCATGTGCCACTGTGCCTAGCTTTAATCACATACTTAAAGAAGTTGACAACGAGAACATTCATACAGGTATAAGCATTCACATACTTACCAATAAATGCACACAGACACAGACACATCTGTGCCCATGAGTTATGCACTCACAGGCCACTTTTTTCTTGTCTCCATAATAGTTCACTGCCATTACTCATCAATACTGAGTCAGAAGACTAGGAAGGTGAGCCCAGTCTTGAGCCTTCCCCAGGTGATTCCAATGGCCACCTGATGTGTGGTGACTCTGTCTGAGAGCCAACCTGCCCCTCTCTTGTTAGGTTGCACCACCACTCCCTCTTCCCCGGGAATATCCCCCCATGGACCCGGACCCTTTAGCATAGCCACCATTACCTTCCCTAGAGTTGGAGGCCTACAGGACCTGTCCCGTCATTTCCTGGTATTTTCTTGTCACTTCCTGAGCTTTCACAGTCAGGTGAGTAAGGATGCGATGGAGGCTGGAGAAGTGCACATGGAACTGGGTTTCCAGGTCCAGCTCCCCAGGGACCTCTTCCTTGGCCTCCTCTATCTCGGCAGCTTCCTTTCCAGCCTCATCCGCTTTGCGACCGACCACCTTGGCCTGCCACTCCTCCCTAGGCAGGAGCCCATGTTCTACATCCATCCGGATGGTCTTGAGCATGGTGAAGTAGGTGTAGAGATCAGGGGCCCCCATCTGGGCCTGGCCGCCATGTCCACCCAGTTGCACATCCCGCAGAAGGCTGGGGATCATCACCACCTGCTCCATGTTGCACACCACAGCCAAGTACCGGTCCACGACGGCCAAAAGGCAGTTTTTAGGGTAGCGCTTGGTTAGTACCGGCATGGTTGCCTGCTTTTACACAATGAGTTGGGAAGACTGCCCCAGCACTATTTCTAGGCTCTGGTTCTGACCACAGATTGACAGGAAGCCAAGGCCCAGTCATTGGGTCAACACAGCCCTGTTTTAAGCCAATCCCAGGGTTTGGGTCCCAAGGTCTGTATCAGGTGATCCACTGCCCAGGGACAGACCCGCCAACCCTTTGTTTGTCATTTCAGTTCTACAAGACTGCCTCAGTAAGAGCCCAGCTCTTCCACTGGCAGCTTGCAGAACTAGTTAAAGCAAAGCTTTTCCCTTTGGCAACAGATGCACTTGATCGCAGGAAAGTCAATAATCCTTTCAGATCACCTGAGGTCAAACTGAGTCTTTGCTACCCTCTGAAAGCACAAAGCTTACTTCTTCAACCCGGAGTGACTGTGAAATGAACAAGGGAAGAGCGTCATGAAATGAAATAGTTTGGTGTGGGGCAAAGAGCACTGAAGTGGTAGCCAGAAGTCCAGAAAGAAGGGGTCTGGATGCTGGCCATGCTCATGTCCCCGACAATCTTCCTTATAGAGGGTGCTTTTCTACCATGAACTTGACTAGGAACAAAACTCTTAATAAGATGCATTAGCCTGGTGTTACCTCAATCAGTCAGCAGGGTATAGAATTTGCATAAAATTGTTTCCTAAACTGTGAGCAGAAAACAGCAATTTTTCCAAGTTAATTAATTTTAAAAATTAATTTTAAGGGCTAGGGATGTAGGTCAGTAGTATAGTATTTGCCTAACATGTGAGGGCCTAGGTTTGATCATCAGTCATACCCCCTTACCTCCTCCCCCCAAAAAGAGTTTGACTACCTAAAGCTGGGCATGGTGGCTCATGCTGGTAATCCCAGCAATTTGGGAGGCTGAAGCAGGAGGATAGAAAGTCAAGGCCACCTGAGCAACTTGGTGAGATCTGGGCTGGGGCTGTAGCTCAGTGGTAGAGTGCCCGCCTCGCACGTGTGAGGCACTGGGTTTGATCCTCAGCACCACATAAAAATAAATAAAGATATTGTGTCCAACTACACCTAAAAAAATATTTAAAAAAAAGATCTGAGTAGAGAATCCCCGAGTTAAATCCCCAGTACCATAAAAACAAAAAACAAAAAAGATCTCTTAAGTAAGCCTTTGATGAATTCACTTCTAGTCTTCTAACATTGGTTTTTCCTTGACTGAGGAAAAATTTTTTCAAATATTTTCTCCTCAAGAAAACAGGACTTCTGGAAATGGAGTTGTGGCTCAGTGGTAGAGTGCTTGCCTAGCATGCATGAGGCCCTGGGTTCTATTCTCAGCACCCCCCACATACACATAAATAAAATAAAGGTCCATCAACAACTAAAAAAATATTAAAAAAAAAAAAGAAAATAGGACTTCTGGGCTGGGCAAGGTGGAACATGCCTACAATCCCAGTTATTTGGGAAGATAAGGCAGGAGGATCACAAATTCAAGGCCCATCATGGCAACTCAGTGAGACCCTGTCTCAAAATTAAAAAGGCTGGGGATGTAACTCGGTGGTAGAGAACCCCTGGGTTCAGTCCTTGGTATTAAGAAAAGGGGGAAAAAAAGGAAGGAAAAATAAAAATGAGGCTTCTCTTGTATACAAATCTCTAGGGCTGCTAAGCAGTGGGTATAGACATTTTTCATAAGGCTGGACAGTGTCACTGGGTTCTGGTGCTACCCACAGGCCTCTTGGGATACAGCCAGGCTCCCTGGACTCCAGCCTCCACACAGTCAACTGAAAGGTTTGGAAATCTCTGAAGGGGAGGACTTTGCTGCCCTGGTTTTGTAACTCCTTCTGAATTTAGGTCCAGTCCCTAAGGGCATTAATCCCTGTGTTAGTTCTTCGTTTTTCACCCAGCCCCAGGGTTACAAACTAAGAACTGGCAAACATGGTGTTCTGCTCGTGGTAGGGGCATGCTGATGTTGGCATGAGGGCTTGCCAGGAGTGCCCTAGCAGCTGCCTCCTGATTCTTTTGCCCAATGACCTGGATTACCCCTGGGCCTCCCTTGCCCCATGTATAAAACTGAGAGGGCTGAACTTTGTTAAGGCCTCTCCACTTCAGATTTTTAGACTCCTCCCAAGCACATGGCTAGTATACCTCACTGTGTTATTCTGCCTATGTGTGCATTTTAATCCCATCTGAGGCCATTCTATTTCCAGACATATTCCTGAGCTTGAACTAGAGAAATGAATGAGTAAATCAAGTGGAAAAGGGAGAGAGTGACTTAGCAATTAGGCAACTAAATGGCCTCTGTATGAATAAGTGTAGAACACAAGGAGGCCTGGGAAGGAATGAGGGAGGGTCTGGCTGACCAGGGTCCCCTGGCCAGCAGGCTACAGACTGAGACTGCCTCTAGGTCTCCCTGGAAGACAGAAGGCCTTAGTTAAAATGTTGCCAGTCATGTGTCAGAGTAGAAGGCAGACATGGAGTGCTAAAGGGACAGGCTGGACTCAGGGAGGTTCTAGGTGTGGGAAGAGGAAGAAAGCAGGAAATGTGTTTCAGGGGTTATAGTATTTTTCCTCCTCTCAAAGATGCCTCATCCGGTCCAGCAGGGCCATCACAGGTGGAAAATCCCAGCAAAGGTGGGGGAAGGAAGCAGACTAGACCTCAAGCTTCATTGGATTTCCCAAGTCTTTCCTCCCACCACTCCCAAAGGAAACTGAGGCTGAGTAAGGTGCCTCCTGGCATGGCCTCTGCAGAGCTGTCTACGGCCTTGCCCTGAGTGCCCCAAGCTGGGCAAACTAAACTGGCCCAGATAGACTGGAGTCAATGTCCTCAAAGTCCAAGCCAGGAATAATGTATGAATGTGATGCAAGGATAAGATGATCAGGTGGTATCTGGGGTTGCCAGACCCCAAGTAACCCTGGCTGGCCTTGAGGCCAGGTGGCTACAGAATGGACACAGACCAAGGTCGGGACAAGCTTTTCAGTTTGAAAATGTTGTATACAAACACATCACCTGATGTCTATGGGCTCCAGGATTTTTTTTTTTTTTTTTAATGTGCTTGTGTGATGCTAAGGTTGGAGGGAAACAGGGGTCATGCATGTTAGACAAGTGCTCTCCAAATCTCCAGTTCCCCAGGCTATTTGGGGGAGGGGATACTGAGAAGGAACCCAGTACCACTGAGTGATATCCCAATCCCTTTTTATTTATTCACTTATTTTTTGAGACAGAGTCTTGTTAATTTACCCAGGCTGGCCTTGAACATGCAATCCTCCTGCTTCAGCTGCCCAAGTTGCTAGGTTTACAGGCTTTACCTGGCTCCTCAGGCTATTTTTCTTCACATTGTCACTCCAGTCCTGGCCAGGGAATATATGGAGTCAAGAAGTGAGAGGCTTTGTAGTCATAATATGCCCCCTCTCCCCCACCACTCAGCCTACAGTATGCTCCAAACTGCTGCTTTTCACACAGGGAAGCCCATGTATTGAGAGCCTACTATGTGCAGCACTCTGGGCCTGGGATTTAACAGGACATGAGGGCAAATGAGGTCCAGGCACTTGGGGCAGTTTATTTATTTATTTATTTACTTGAATTTTTAATATATGTATAATTTAGTTTTCATGGACTTTATTTTTTTTTAATTTATATATGGTGCTGAGAATTGAACCCAGTACCTCACACATGCTAGTGCTCTACCACTGTGCTAAGACCCCATCCCCAGTTTTTATCTATTTGGGAGAGAACCATCATGAGCATATGCACAGATAAATGTGATTAGCATTACATTGTGACATACCCTTTGGAGAAAACAAAACAAGGTAACAAGACTTGCTAGTCAAAGTGTGATCTACAGACCAGCAGCATCTAATCATCCCAGGGCTCACCAGAAATACATATTCTTAAGCTCAGCCCAGGGCCTACCACATCGCAGCCTGGGAATGCCTAACTCCAAACATGGTTCTTTATTTTTTTTTTAATATTTATTTTTTAGTTGTAGTTGGACACAATACCTTTATTTCACTTATTTATTTTTATGTGGTGCTGAGGATCGAACTCATGGTCTCGCACGTGCGTGCAAGGCGAGCGCTCTACTGCTGAGCCACAACCCCAGCACCCCCAAACATGGTTCTTTTTTTTCTTTTTTAAAAATATTTTTTAGTATTGACGGACCTTTATTTTATTCATTTATTTATATGCGGTGCTGAGAATTGAACCCAGTGCTTCGCACATGTGAGGCAAGCACTCTACCACTGAGCCACAACCCCAGCGCCCCCAAACATGGTTCTTAAATGGCCAGGAAAGAAGAAACAACTGTCCTGAGACCTTAACATTCTTGGCTTCAAGAAGATTTGTCCTGCAGGCAGAAGGAATGGCAAGTGCTATCCATCACAAAGGATTCCTAAAGGGACAACTGACTCACTGCATGACCTTAAGTAAGACATTCAGCCTCAATCTCCTACCTGGAAAGCAGAGGAGTTGAACTACATAAAGAATCTTGCTAGGTGCATTGCACACTCCTTCTTTTGGGGGGTAGGGGGGGATACCAGGTGTGCAGAGCGGTGACAGTGAATGGGAGAGCAGTATCTGAAATGGGTTCCCTGATGACTTCATGGCTGTGGCATGCCTGGTACCTGGGAAAATTTCTGTAAAAAGGTGCAGGATGACTAGTTGCTATGGCAATGTCCTCCATGAGAAGGCTCTGTGCCAGGGTCTTATCAGCCTCTACCTTGATCTCAGGCACACAGCTCCTGGGAATAAAGAAACTCTCTTGGCAGACAACCACAATGTTTTACCAGCTCTGCTGCTCCTCAGCCTGCACATAACACTGTGCTAAGACCCCATTTAAACAATGGACTTTCTTGAAAGCTACACAAAGCTCCTAACATAGCACACTGTAACTGTAGAAGGCAACTGGGGAATAAGCTGCTTAATGTTGCTAACTTGTAACTTTCAGGAATACAAAGAATAATGCTTGCATAGTCTTTAATCTGATTAACGAGATAAATATATAATAAAGATTGCTGGCGTCTTTAGACCTGCTTCTCCATTAGACAGCAGTGCTCCACCCAATCCCAGCTGTTATCTTCAATATCTGCATATGTGAGTC